CCCATTAATCCTTTATTTTTCAGTAGACCATTTTTGTTATTTAATGACTGTATCACATTCATATATATAATAACTCTTTCCAAGATCTTATAAATTAGACAGAATGAGACACAATGTTAATACCTTCTTGGCAGCATTTTTTTACTCATTCAATAAAAAGAATAGTGGCCTTAAGGCCACTTTGGGCTGATTTTCATTTCTCTCTTCACTCTCTCACGTTAAGCTCTCTCTCTCTCACTGGTTCTCTTTTTTTCTTTTTCTTTTCCACATCGAATTAAGCTTGATCTCTCTTCCACTTTGGGAATTTGATTTGCCACTTGAGGCAAATTTGATAAGCTAGTTGAGGCCTTCATTTAGATTGGAGCTGATTTCAATTTGGAGTATCCTTGGATTTCGAAATTTATGACACAAAATTGGGTGGTTTTGCATCTAAGTGAGGTAGGGGTTTCTAATTTACATTTTCTTCACCTTTTGTGAACTATTCTTCTTAAGTAGTGAATTAACATGCTTGATTTGTAGAAATTTCATACTTTATTATATATATATATATATATATATATATATATATATATATATATGTTGTGTCAACGTTGTGACTATGTGTTGCTTGATATATATGAGATGAAGCATGTAAATTGTTGATTAATTCAAGCTCTTTGTGCCTTTAGTGCTAGTTTGGTGATTAGAAAGCATGAAATATAATTTTAGAAAATTTTATGTTGTAAAGCATGTCTAAGTATTAAATTTCTATGCCTATTATGATTAATTTGCTAGAATTTGCAACATGGAAGTGTGTTGATTTGTGAAAAATGAAAATCTTATGTTGATTTGTGAATTGTTAAAAAAAAAATAAAAAATCATTTATTTGACATGGCATTGGAAAGTATGAGACATATATTCATGCATATCATTGGGCATGGAATGGGAAAAATTGATTTAAAAAAAATGAAATGGATTTTTGGAAAAAGGTTTTGAAAAGGGTTTTTTTTTTAAAACCCGGTCGCCTGGGGATTACCTAAGAGCTGTGGTGTTAGTGAGGCCTAGAGGAGACTAGAGAGATTTCCTTAGCGTGGTTGAATTACCTAGGCCCCAAATGACACTACGGGGTTACCATGAGTCAGGGACAGTTGCCAATCCTCCTCTAGTACCGCCATGGGGTCACCATGGGACGGGTTTCACTAACGGTTTGGAAATGATAGAAATTGTAATGACCCGAAAAGATACCAAAATAATAATAAAAATTTATAAAAATTTCGGCATAACCTCCGCAAAAAATGTCCCTCAACAACCTGTTGAAATACAAAAATAAATGCAATGGCCTCACTGGGCCTTAAATCTAACTTATCTTGTCCCAACGCACAATTCAGATATTATATTACATTTCCAAAATGGTTACATACATACAAAAGTCCCGTTCCTCCATCTCATCAAAACAAAGGACACATCCGTTACATTAAGTTACAGTCCATAATTGTAGCTAAAATTTTAAAGTCCATAACTTACAACATTATATCAACTAAACTAAAGTTTTACAAAATATTTAAGATTACATTTACAAAATATATATTAAAGTTCTAATACAAAAGATAGCAAAAGATAGTAAAATAAAATAGATCTCCAAGCTAGTCTAAACCAATGGTAGATCGTCGTCCGCTACCTCTTTTCCGTATCCTGAAAAATGTTAAAAAATAATGGGGTGAGCATAAGCTCAGTAAGAAGTGTCTAAGACACACTTCTTATATCCCCGTAAATCCCACACAAAGAATGGATAAAAGGGGACGGGGTCATACCATGGGAAAAACATAATCTCAATCACAACGACAAGCATAGTATAAATAACATCCAATCACAAATTTTCCACATGTACCATGAAGTGCAATGTCATGCCTATGCCACTCCCCATTTCCGAAACAATTCCGTTTCAATAACCAAACCGTTAATGTAATCCGACCCAAGGCACCTCCAAGGCGTCACGAAAGGAAGGTTGGTTAACTATCCACGACCACAAGGCACCTCCAAGGCGTCGCATCCGACCTAGTTAACTCAACTACATTCCTTTCTAGACTAAACTAACATCACGGACCACTAGGCGCCTCCTAAGCGTCCGATTTTCGCAACACTTTTAGAAAATATTTTTCCAAAAATAATTTCATTTGTTCTAAAAATATTTTTTTTCCCTTCTCTTTCCCAATGAATGCATGAATACTTGAACTTGAATTTATCAACCCAACTATATAACTTTCACACATACTATACAAGACAAATTTATAAAATACATGATGAATCTCTCATTTAATATTAACTTTGCATAACTAGCATGTAAAATATAAACTCAATTTCATACAAACATGTAAGCATGCTAAATCACCTCAAAACAATTATCAAATAGTCACATACATTCCATGCTTATTATTCTAAACAAATCTTTGCAAGAATTAGCACTAATTGAACATGTTAGGCATCACTTTAAGCTAGAAACTCACAGAAATACAATAATTCATGCATTAGAATACCCCTACCTCACTTAGATACAAAACCCCCAATTTTGAACCCAAGAACCCTAAAATTTCGAACTCCCTAGAGTGCACCAAATGATGATTGACTCCTATCAAATTGAAGGCCTCGACGAGCTCTCCGACTTTGCTTCACAAGGTTCTACCAAATTTCAATTTGGTGAGAGTGAGATCCAAGCTTGAAATTGCAAAAAGAAAAAAAAAAAATGGAGATGCCGAGACGCAGCAGAGAGAGAGAGAATAAAGAAGTCTGCGAAATGGCCTTATGGCCTATTGTTATGCTTTTAACTTATTGGTGGGGCCCACCAACTTTTGAAAAAAAAAACTTTTAACTTTAATATATATATATATATATATATAAACATTACAGAAATGGTTTTGAAAAATGGGAAGCGTCATTACATGACATTGCACCCATTGCACAGCATATCCATTCATGACTTGGTTTATAAATGTAATATTGTGGTTATTTTTCTCCCGGCATAGCATGATCCCGTTTTCTATATTTCTATTCATTGTTTGAATTCACGGGGTCACAAGAGGTGTGTCTTAGGCACCACCTACTGATCTTTATACTCACCCTATTATTTAACATTTTTCAGAATACGGAAAGAAGTGGCGGATGACGTTCCACCACAGGCTTAATTTGGATTAGAAGATTATTTTGCTATTTTTGTATTTAATTCCCATCATGTTGTTTTGTAAAACCTTAGTTTGTTCTATTCAGTATAGAGACTTATGAACTCTTATTATTGTAATTTTGCTTCATGGACTGTAAGTTGATGTAATTGGAATAAAATTCTAGTATGTGAGTATGGGACTATATATAAGACAGGTACTCCTTTGTTCTGGATGAATGGGATGATGATAATGGGTCATTTTGAGGAGGTTGTTGATGTTGTTGTTGTGGGAATGTTTTATATTATTTGCATTATGTGTTGGGACAGGTTCGATAAATTGTGAAGGTTCAAGAGACACCATTGCATTTTTATGCATTTAAGCAGGTTGTTGTAGGACTCTTTTTAGCAAAGGTCATGCCGAAATTTTTTTTATATAATTAGTGTCATTTTAGGGTCGTTACAGTAGTGGTCCCAAATTACTTAATAATTTATTCTTTAACACCTTAAGATAAAATTAATGTTTCTTATTTATTTTATATTTATACTATTTTTAATCTCCATTTTCACCACTAATATAAGATATTAAAGGACTTGAAGCCCAATTCTGGCTCATAGGTGAGTCCAAAATTAGTGAAGTAAGTGACGAGAATTGGATCATTCAACATAATAGTAAAAAGGGCAGCCTTGGTATTTCAAGAATTCACGGTATTGAAATTTGACAAATTTAACATCAGTTGACTGTAATTATGTGCACCAAGTTTATATATCTATAATTTACCCTTTATAGAGGTGGTCCCAACTCGCTATCATGCTGCTGCTTTTTTTCTTTTTTTTCTAAAAGCAATATATTTTACATACTTCTATTTATATTTTTGGAGTTTAAAATTTTAAATTTAAATATTTAAAATTAAAAAAAAAATTTAATAAATTTTTAAAAAACAATGCATATTATATATGTCACCTTAAAATTTTCTATACTCCAAAAACGTTACCATTTTTGAAATAGAAGGAGTACGTGGTAATCTTCAATGATATTAGTTTCAGTCTCTGTTAGGTAAATCACTGTCATGTCATCACAAGAGGCCTGACCCAATGGTAAGGGCCTTGGTCCACTTGCAATGTGCTAGCCCTCAAATCATTGCCAGGAGGCCCAGGACAATAAAAAAAAATTAAGTCATCACAGTTCGGTACCACCAACCAATGAGGATTAAGTTGGTGTTCATGAGAGACGTGGCTAGTCAAAAACTTAGACACTTGTTCATAAGTTAAATATAAAAGTCAAAGATGAATTATACCCATTTTCTTATAGGGTTACCCTGAAACCCATCTGACAAATCATGTTGCTCCCTCTCCTCCTGCCCCTCCCCATTTTTTTTTAATAAGGTAAATTTGATTAAGTAATGACTAGTTACAAGTGTCAAGTGTGCAAAGGTCAAGGCTTAGAAAGGAAGTAAGCCCACAAAACAGGCCCAATCACAAAAACAACATAAAAAAACAACAGGACCAAACCCAACAGCATAAACAAAGACTATATTGGTCTAGTAAACATTAGAATATTCGTGTATTGGTCTAGTAAACATTAGAATATTCGTGTATAAGAGCCCGTTTGAAATAGATTGGAGGAAAAAAAAAATTTTGATGTATTAAATAGTGAAAAAAAAAAAAGACAGAGTATTTTTTTTGCACTTAATTCTATAAAATATTAAAAATTATAGATAAAATTATTTTTTTGTACGTTTTTAATGTAAAATTAAACCTATGATACTATAATTTAATATTTAACCCAGGGGGTGTAAGTGAAATGACTTAAAAAGGACAAAACAAAAGGTCGACCTTTTGGTTTGAATTATAAAGGCCAACGATCTCACGCTCTTGTCATTTTCCAAACACGGTCTCTTCATCTCGCTTGCATTCACTCACCAAGTCACACACATAGGCTAGGGTTTTTCGATCAAACAAGAAGGTCTCTCCTGTCATTCTAGTGAGTGCTTTAGGTATCTCGAAGAAGATGTACGGTAATTTGGTTCGGAGAGTGAAGTTATTGGGCCCTATGTTTGAGGAATTGAAGGACGGCTACAATGAGGTTCGAGGACTAGAGTCATTGAGGGTTGCTTTGAATTCGGCTAAAGAGCTTCTCCGATCGTTTATTAATGAAGGCAGTAAGCTTTATCAGGTATATATTTATATATGTGTGTGTGTTGGTTAGATTGCGTTTTATTTTTTTATTTTTTATTTTGTATATGGGGTTTTATGGGTCTGAATGTGATTTGTGTTGGAAAACAAACTGTTCGGTTTCTGAGCAGTGGAGGAGAAAGAGAAGAAAGCAGTGGAGGAGGTTTATGTTATTTTGGCTCATGAAAAAGTAAAATTTATAGTATAATCCTTGATTAATTGCATGGATTAAGCAAGATGAGTCTTTTCGTTGCCAACAGAAAGTGGGTGAGTTCTAATTTGCAATCACTTCTTTTCCACTTATTTCTAGTTACCAAACAGAGCCCATTATCTTTTTGTTTCTAATTCAAATTCCAAACTTTATCAAAACTCATGAAAAAAAATCATGAAATTTAATATAGATGGCGGAGAGAGAAAGAGAGAAGAGAGCAGAAAGAGAGATACTTATTATGGTTGAGAGGGAGAAGTTGAGAGAGAGCATGTAGGAAGTAATATATATTTCCTCGGTTCCAAAATAAGCTAATTTTTTAGGTGAATTTTTTATTACTGTTTATTGTATTAATAATGCATAAATTATTAAATTTATCTCAAATAAGTACACAATGATAAATTGGTAATATTACAAAAAAAAAAAAAAAAAAAAAAAAGGGACTTTGATTTTTAACTTATTTGGGAAAGGATAAAAAATGAAGGGTGGTTTTGGCACTAATGATGGAATCTATGTCACGTGACTGACACATGTGCCTTTTAACGGCTATTTTGTTACGACGGTACGGGAAGGGTGCAATGTGTAAGTTGTAACATCTTTTCAAGTAATTAATTATATACACATTTTGTTGTTACAGGATTTACAGGGATTAAATTATCTATGGCTGTTTCTTTTTGCACTTTAACCTCTTTCCTCTTTCCTGGTTCCTATTTCCTATTGTTACAGGGATGTGTACGCACTATATCTATAATACATGTGTGTTTTTTTACACTTAAACCACTTTCCTCTTTCGCTAACCTAACAAAATTATAAAAAAAACATATTCTGCGCTTTCAAAACTTGTGTTTTTTTCTTAGAAATATAATATATAATGTATTAAATAGCCAACTAATACTCTAATTTTTGTAATTTTCAGTTTAGTCGGGTCATTTTAACTTGTTAGTTACTTGATCCAAATGCAGTGTGAAACTCTGAATTACCGGAAAGGTAGATTCAGATGTCGAAACCGAAAGGCCAAATGATTGCTTTATGATTCAACTTGTACCACTTTTAAAAAAAACTTTGTTGAAACTTGAAAGGCAATCTTTTTCCACAAGTATGGCCGTATGGGTTCCGATATTTTATGATTATGACTTTATAAAATAATAAATTAAGATCATTACTATAACACATTCATAGAGTAATGCTTTTTGAGTTTCTATCTTCCCCTCGGGTCAATCAATCTCACTACTAAATTCCACCTACCATGGTATTTTTATAATATATGTTGGATATCTTATAGTAATTAAGTTGATCAATTCTGAATATTTTATTATAATCAGCTGATTTAGTCAATCTTGCCGCTAATTGACCAGCTCCAATGACTTTTTCAATATCATGGACGTCTTGTGCAAATTTCTAATAAATTAAATCCCTAGCTTGCCGTTGAATGTCTGTATCATCCCTTTAACAGAATAATTAATACCATCACCATTTTACAGAGAAGTACCCAAAATCGAGGGCGAGTTTTGACACAATGTTAATGGCTTCTTGGAGGCAGCTTTTCATCATTTCTCACATCCTCATGGGCCTTGTTGGTCTCACCATAGCTCAGCCTGACTTCATATTTCACAGATGTTCAAATATCAGTGGCAACTACACCAATGATAGTAGGTACAAAGCAAACCTTGACAGCCTCCTCTCCTCCCTCGCTTCTGACACCAATATCAACTATGGCTTTTATAATTCCTCCTATGGCGAAAACTTAGACACCGTTAATGCAATTGCACTTTGTAGAGGAGATGTTAACCTCGATATCTGTCGTAGTTGTGTCAAAAACTCTACTACTAAACTCATACAACTTTGCCCTAACCAAAAGGAGGCATTTGGATGGTATGACTTTTGTATGTTACGTTATTCCAACCGCTCTATATTCCGTAACCTCGAAACTGCTCCTCTTGACCATCAGCCCAACCCAAATGATGTCTCCAATAATAATGGGGATCTGTTCAATGAGGCACTGAGAACCTTGTTGGACGACGTAAAAGTCAAAGCTGCATCAGCTGACTCTACTCACAAGTTTGCCACGGGGAATGCCACTGCACCGGACTTCGAAACGTTATATGCGCTTGTGCAGTGCACCCCTGATTTATCCGACTCCGAATGCATCAATTGCCTAGATGTGGCTACTCGATACATTCCAGATTGTTGCAATTTAAAGTGGGGAGCAAAAATTATTGCACCCAGCTGCGTTCTTAGATTTGAAGCCTATCCTTTCTACAATGAGACCAACATTGCGCCGCCGCCGCCACCACCACTGCCACAGCCACAGGGTACTGATCACTTCAATAATATTCATGGCGTTAAATAGCACACAACTTGATTGCTTTTTAAGTTATAAACAAACGTTATATTGCTTTTCTTGGATTTTAGAGACACTTATTCTTTATGTAGAAGAGTACGTACTACATCACTAGCTACTTCTTTATCATCTATCTGGTAACCTAATTGAAATGTTTCTTGATTCCCTCTCAGTTTCGATTGCATCGCTAGTTAGTTCTTTATCATCTATATAAAACATTATTTTATATAGTGTATAGACCATGGTGGTTGTTTCATTTTGAAATTAGAAAATCTAAAAACTTTTTTGTATGGTTTGATTTATCAACCATGCATATAAAACATTTTTAAATTCAGCACTCAACATGATTTAATCAGAGTAATTTTCTGGTATTTTTGCAGGAAAGGACAGTAATACAGCTCGAACTGTCATCATCATCGTTGTCCCATCAGTTATCTTTGTGCTAGTTATCATTGCCATTTACATCCATTTGAGAAAGAGGAAGCAGGGAAAGCCAAATGAGGAAGTTGAAGGTAAATGGTTTATCCTGACTTTTATGTAGAACTTAGGATCCATTTGTTACAGATAAAATCATGGGTAAAGTGTAAAAAATATCCTTCAACTATGTCTAAATTTGCAAATAACCTTCCTGAACTATGTTTTGTGCATAAAACTTCCTAAACTATCACATTTAGTTGCAAAATGTCCATTGTCTTACTTATTTTTCATTAAATGACCATAATACCCTTTCTTATTGAATTACACTTGATATATTTTTTTTGTTAAAATAAATTATGAAAAATACTCATACTAATTTGATGAAATATTCTCCATTAAATTTGCAAAAGTTTGTATTTAATTTTTTTAATTAATTATTTAAATAAAAATCTTAAATAGAAAATTTTGAAACAATTTAAGTAATTCTAAATTTTCATGAATATATTGCATTAAAAAGAAATATTTTTTTATACTAAATTTTTTTAAAGTGAGTATAACAAATTTGATTGTAATAAGTTAATCATTTTAGAAAATGATAGCTACAAATTTATTCATTTTTTTCCATTTTTATAATCCATTGATAGTAATTATAAAATGAAGGTAAATGGTATAATTAATATTTAAATAAGAGAAAATAAATTAAAAAACAATTTAATAGAAATGACAAATTTAATAACAAAGGGTAAAATAATCTTTTGTGATGGGTTTGTCCTTAATTACAACAAATTAGTAGTTTAGGGGGGCAATCTTCAATTTAGGGGAGTTAGTTGCAAAAAACCAATAATTCAAGGGGTTTTTTTGCACTTTACCCTAAAATCATTGACTCTTTAGAAAAATATTAAGTATAGAAGCTTCAAGACAATGATCACAGCTGTATGAACAACTGTCTTCATGATACAAAAAGGAAATCTATTTTACTGTCGAGAAATGAGTTCAATTGGAGGGGAAAAATAATATTTAGATATTAGAGCTCAAAAAACAAGAAAATTATCCAACGAGAGAGTTATCCAATCGTGGAGCCGGAGCGTGATAATACCACGGATACAATGATATGATGCCTTACCCAGTAAATTAATAAACATTAGCTTTAAACATTCATGAATACCTAGAATTGTCTGATTATGCATATATGATGCACTAACTGCATAGTGTAACCGATTAAACATTCATTAATGAAGCTCCTTTTTAGCCTAGTGTAACCGATTAAACATTCATTAATGAAGCTCCTTTTTAGCCTAATTTTATTTCTTTTATTAGCTTTCATGTGAACTTTTTGTTTTTTCTGAAGCTATGGATGAAATTAGAAGTGTGGAATCCTTGCAATATGACTTTAATACTGTAAAAGCTGCAACAAATAACTTTTCTGATACTAACAAGCTCGGACAAGGTGGATTTGGTGCTGTTTACAAGGTAATGGAACATTGTCGTATGAAAAATGTTATTAAATTAAAAAAATTTATGTTGCTTGACAGTGTTTTCATTTACTTAACATTTATACTGATTAATCTTCAGGGCAGGCTTCAGAATGGAGAAGAATTAGCTGTGAAGAGGCTATCCAGGAATTCTGGACAAGGCGAGCAAGAATTTATGAATGAGGTTCTGCTAGTGGCCAAGCTTCAACACAGGAATTTGGTTAGGCTCCTTGGTTTCTGCCTCAGTGGAACAGAAAGGCTACTTATCTATGAGTTCATGCCCAATTCAAGCCTCGATCACTTCATAGTTGGTATGATTGCTATGCTGCTGCTGGATAGATCATACTTCTATTTTATTCGGAAAGCAGGGAAGCATATCTAGAATATGCACACCTTAACCTCACTGTCACACACCGAACACAATAATCTTGTAGAGTAGAGCTCAGTCGCTATCTTGATGCACATATCATCCTTATCTGATAATCATAGAGCATAAATTGGAAATCTTTGTGGTATTATATTCGAGCTCAAAATCAATCATATGCTTGGATGAACATGCAGATCCCATCAAGCGTGCACATATGGATTGGGGTAGTCGTTTCAAGATCATAGGAGGCATTGCTCGGGGACTCCTGTATCTTCATGAAGATTCTAGGCTTCGGATTATTCATCGTGATCTCAAAACTAGCAATGTTCTACTAGATGCAGAGATGAATCCTAAAATTTCAGATTTTGGAATGGCAAGATTGTTTGTGCTGGATGAATCTCGAGGCAAAACAAGTAGAATTGTTGGGACCTAGTAAGTGTTGGAACCATTCAAAAGCTGACAATTGAAACTGTGAATCTTTTATTTAATTTTCAAGTGGAAACTATATATCATCTAGGTAACATGAACTTCTACCGAAGTTTGATCAGATATTTCTTAGGAGAAAATCAAGTACATTCAAAATCTTGAAGATGCAATATAAGTAACTTATTGGCGTAGTGACTAGAGAGATGCAGGAGAAATATGATTTCAAGTATTCTCATAATTTTGAATATTTTCTTCAATTACTGACACTAATAACTAGCAAATTAATTTTACAGTGGCTATATGGCTCCAGAGTATGCAATGCATGGCCGCTTCTCAGTCAAGTCAGATGTCTTTAGCTTCGGTGTGATAGTTCTGGAAATCATAGCTGGTCAGTTGAACAACTGTTTCCAAAATGGGAAGAATATAGAGGACCTTCTAAGCTACGTAAGTATGAACATACATGGTGAATTACTAAGTGCTGAATTTTTTTTACTAGTCACGGAAGCTTGTTTTAATATCAAAATTGCACATTGTTGAATTCTTGCAGGCTTGGAAAAACTGGAAGGAAGGAACAGCTTCAACTCTGATAGATTCTACTTTGCAAAATGGTTCAAATTCAATGAATGAAATAATGAGATGCATCCACATTGGGTTGCTATGTGTTCAAGAAAGTGTAGCTGAAAGACCAACCATGGCTTCAGTTGTTCTTATGCTTAATAGTTTCTCTCTCACTCTCACAGTACCTTCACAGCCTGCATATTTTATGCAGGGTGTCACTGATCCAGAAATGCCATTGCTAGGATCAAAGAGTAAATCTACCAGTCTGTCAGTAGATGAAGCATCAATTACGGAGTTATATCCACGATAGTGTCTCGAGAATGATATTACTGCAACAAGCATGTTTGTGTGATTCTTTTTACACTGACTGTTATTATTTTGTTGCAGAATAATATATCTTAAGAAAGTTTGTGAGAACTCTGCTATTCCTATATGTACTTGGAGTACTTAATTATAAATATAGTCATACAGAGACACATTTTGAAAATGGCAGAATCCTCTTTGTACGGCACTCAGGTTGGATATCTTTGACCAAATCCAATATATATATGCTAGTGAAACTGCCAGGATCAAATGTGCTGCTATTCTATATGTACTTGGTATTTTGTAATGTGACTTAAAATCATCCGTCTCAATATCCCCATTCCTGGCATAAATTTCCAAATAGGATCCCTGATGATACTATGAGGACATTAACAGAAACTCAGACATGGATCACTCTGTTTAGGCTACCACACTAACAAGACAAAGCCTTTGTGAAAAATAATTCTTTCATTATTTATCCAAAATAATAATAATAATTCATTCATTACAAAACAGTTCAACCAGGCCAAATTACTCACAGCCAAATTTTCAAGCTTTTGAACTATGGTATGGCATACCATGACTGTTTTGTTACATGTAAATCCAGAAGAATTTCATCCGTCAGACACAATGTTAACCAAGTTTATCATATATTCACACTTAGCAAAGATCATCTTCTGGCCTCAACAAGCTGGTGGCCAATGACTTGCATTCCTTCACAATAAAAGAAAAAAAAATTAGTAGATCAGAAATGACGTTCCATATTCTTTATTTCCATCTTCTAGGGAGATGCTTGAATAGGCAATAGAATGGATAACTTGTGGTATGATGTGACTGTGAACAGAGAGGATGATTCTAGGACTTAGTTGAATGAGTAGAGCACCACCAGATATGTGAACATCAAGAAAGCAAGTATGCCAACCACAACTCCATGCTCTGACTTTCTAGCCACAACTCCATGCTCTGACTTTCTAGCTCCTGCATTTCCATGTGAATTCAACAATTGTTAGCAGAAAAAGGTAAAGTAGAGCTCAACAATGTAACACGGCAAATTTATCTGTAATATGAGAAAGAATCAATAAAAATAGATTTGAAAATGAGGTGGGGGAAGTGCATTTCAGATGTAATTCGGTTTGCCTAATTTCTCTACGGACATGGAGCTGCAATTTCAGCCAGGCTAAGTCTAGCACAATGTGTAAAACACTGCGCAAGGTTAGCCCTCTTAGCTTGAGCCCAGTCTCACCCAAACCCTTGAGACTGAATTCAGTCAACCTAAAAATCAGGGGTTCAACTAGGGAAAATATATATATATATATATATATATATATATATATATATATTAAAAAAAAAACAGGGGTTCATGAAAGGTTTGGGCTAATCTAAAGTAAATTGCCCACTTTAACCATTACTAGAAAATCCAAATGAGGAAATTACACCTCTTTATTGTATAATTGCAGTTAAGTTCGAATAAGATGTAGCATAGAGTTCCATTCTGGAAGAAAAAGAATGCAGTTAGTCACTAACTTACCAGCACTAACAGTAGTTGAGATGTTATAGAACTGGTAATCATGATACCACATGCTACAACCCTTCTGAAAAATCTCCCACTCTCTATTGCTTTTAATGTTGTCTTCAGAATTCACCAATGAAGTATTCAAGCACTTCCCACATTCAAATATGCTCAAATCTCTAGTGCACTGAGCCATGCCATAGCTCTTCCCACTTTTTCCAACCTCTAATACCGATGTCTGAAACATCAAAGGCTGATTTGGAGTCGTAGATGCAAGTGTGCCCATGAACCATTGGTATCAAAGGTACCCAACCCATATTGCTCTGAAACTCCAAAGAACGTTTCATCTGAATAGCGCAGGAAACACCATGTGAACCAAACCACAACACTTTCGCTTTCTGGGCATCTATGCAAGGCTACCTTGATAGACTCTCCGGTGCAATTAGTGCAGTCTTGAGCAGATATGTCACCTCTACATTGTATGAGGCCATAAATCTCGTTGAAGTCTTTGCCAGCTGTGGCTTTGTAGAAACCACTGTTATGAGACACAATTGATGCAAGTGAATACAAAATATTGTTAAGTTTGGTCTGGAATGAGTTACCAACTGTGGAATTATCAGGTTCTGAACACGTCCAACCTCGCTCTACGTTTCTATCAGCATGGCAAAAGTTGTATGACAATAATAAAGTTGATACTATAAAAACAATGAAGGGTGGTTTCAAATGGAAACTCCCCATTTCTTTTGGATCTCTGGTATCTTTGATTCTATGAAGGATTAGCTTTGGAAGATGCAAAGATGGTAAACATGACCACATGTTCTAGCTTACTTAAACCCTACCCAAGGAAATTAAATTATGCTACCACATTTTTTTTGTAATTGAATGTTTCAAAGTCAACTCTTCTTGCTGCAAGTTTAAAAACCTAGCTCATACCAACAGCCTGTGGCCTAGCGATACAAGGCTCCTACTTCCCAAAGGGAGGTCAGAGGTTCGAACCTCAGTGGAGGCAGTGTGTGTGAGTCCCAACTAGGAAAAAAAAAACCTAGCTCATCCATATCCTAGAACATCTTATATTGAAGTCAAAAGGAATGATTCATAAAAGAAGAATGGGATGCCGTAGGAATCTTTCTAATTCACATACAGGAAGGAAAGCCTCAAGAAATAGAGAACCATAGAAATGGGAAGGACACATTTGGAAGATTTATGTATATATATATATATTTATGTATATGTATGCAGCAATCTTTCCCTCGGGCACATGCTGGTCAAATACACAGCAAAATAATAGCAAGGGCGATCATTATTGATGGGGATCAAGTGGAAACCGAGGACAAGCAAGCAATGGAAATAAATCGGCTCATAACTACAATTTAAGCATCTTGTGGAAATTGATTCTCTAGTTGACTGGAGGAGGGTGACAATGAAGATGAAGCAGATGTGCCTCGTCAAGGACAATCACATACTGGCCCAAGGTAAACCCTTTGTGAAAATACTACCACCACCACTCTACCAAGATAAATGCTTTGTGAAAATTAACTGTTTCCTTATGGTTTGGGACCACGACTGTTTTGTTACCACGAAACTACCTTGTATAAGATGGTTATTATGGAAGAGCTCACAACAAACTGTGTACGTGTAAATCCAGAAGAATTTCATCGTCTGGCACAATGTTAACAAGTTTATCATATATTCACAGTTAGCAAGGGTCATCTTCTGGCCACAACAAGCTGTTGGCCAATGACTTGCTTTCATTCACAATAAAAGAAGAAATTTCTAAAAAAAAAAAAAAAGTAGCAGATAAGAAATGACAAAACGTTCCAAATTCTAGGGAGATACTTGAATAGGTGAGGTGATAGAATAAATAACTAGTGCTATGATGTGACTGTGAGCAGAGCGGATGACTAGAGCACCACCAGATATGTGAACATCAGGAAAGCAGGTATGCCCACCACAACTCCATTCCCGGATTTTCTAGCTCCTGCATTTCCAAGTGAATTTAACAATTGTTAGCAGAAAAAGTTAAAGTGGAACTCAAAATTTTAATTGATAAATTTATCAGTAATATGAGAAAGAAACAATCAAATAGATTTGGGAATTTGGTGGGGGATTGTGCATTTCAGACCAAGTTAAGTTTGCTTAATATCTTTTTTTTCTTCATTGGTATAAATCCAATTATTGTATAGTTCATCAGAGGGGGGGTTTTCTATTGTGTACAAGGACATCTTTTTTTGTATCATTTCCCAAAAGGTTGACAAACTGGGTGGATACGTAAAAGATATTTTTTGTTTTCCATCACTTTGGCATGTATAAAAAAAATATTGTGACATTTCATTTCTTACAGCCTTTTCAAAGTGTTGGTTTTTTATATATCGCAATGGTCGATTCCATTGGTTATAGTCGAAAAGAAGAATCACAAGCGATTTTTCAAACCAGAAGGGGTATTTATTTTTATGCACATGGTGCTGCAATTTCAGCTAGGCTAAGTCCAGCACAAGGTGTTAAACACTGCGCATGGTTAGCATGTCTTAGCTTGAGCCCAGTCTCACCCAAACCCTTGAGATGAATTCAGTCAACCAAAAAATTAGGCATTTAGGTAAGGTTTTGGCTAATCTAAAGTAAATTGCACACTTCAGCCATTACTAGTAAATTCAAGCTGGACTCACAAGAGGAAATTACTCCCCTTTATTGTCAAATTGCAGTTAAATTCAAATAAGATATAGCATTAAGTTCCATACTGGAAGAAAAAGAATGCAGTTAGTCACTAACTTACCAGCACTAGCAGTAGTTGAGATGTTGTAATAAAACTGGTAATCATGATACCACATGCTACAACCCATCCCATAAATCTCCCATCTTCTATTGCTATTAATTATGTCTTTAAAATTCACCAACCGAGTATTCAAGCACTTCCCACATTCAGACCTGCTGAAATCTCGAGTGCACTGAGCCATGCCATATCTCGTCTCATTTTTTCCGCCCTCTTCTAATACTGATGTCTGAAACATCAGAGGCTGATTTGGAGTTGTAGATGCAAGTGCGCCCATGAAGGAAAATCCCTTTGAAACCACAGAAGGATCGTCAACATCATTGTTATCGAAGATAGTCACCCTAGTTGGCTCTGAAACTCCAAAGAATTTTTCATCTGAATAGCGCAGGAAACACCATCGGAACCAAACTGTGACTTCTTTGCTTTTTGGGCATGTATGCCCTCCGGTGCAATTAGCGCAATCTCGAGCAGATATATCACCTCTACATTGTATGAAGCCATAAATCTTGTTGGAGCCCTTGCCAGCTGTGGTTTTGTAAAAACAACTGTTAAGAGGCCCGTTTGATGCAAGTGAATGAAAAATATTGTTAAGGTTGGTCTGGAATGAGTTGCCAACTGTGGAATTATCGGCTTGCGCGCACAGTGAACCACGACTCAGGTTGCTATCAGCATGGCAAAAGCTGTATGACAATATGAAAGTTGATGCTATAAATACAACAAAGGTTGGTTTCAAATGGAAACTTGCCATATCTTTTGGATCTCTAGTATCTTTGGTGTTGTGAAGGATTAGCATTGGAAGATGCGAAGATGGTAAACATGACCACATCTTCTAGCTTCCTTAAATCCTAGTTGAAGGAATTAAATTAGGTTATCACAATTTTTTATAATTGAATGTTTTAAAGTCAACTCTTCTTGCTGTAATTTTAAAAACCTAGCTCATCCAAATCTTGGAACATCTTATATTGAAGTCAAAATGAATGATTCATAAAAGAGGCATGGGGTGCCTTGTGAATCTTTCTGACATACAGGAAGAAAATCCTCAAGAAATATAGAATCATAGAAAATGGGAAGGACACATTGGGAAGATTTATATACACACACACAGATATATATATATATATATGTATATGTAGCAATCTTTCCGCTTGGCAAATAATTGTAATGATGCTATAAGTATAGATGTATACATATCAAAGGAGTACGCCTGACGCCCCTACAAGTTTCCCACCATTTTGTAGCTTATGTGGAAGCAGAGGAATGAAGCTCTGAACAACAATTAAGTCTGAACTTTTTACATCAGAGAAAATCATTTTCTACACAACCCGAAAGAATCCTATTTGTCAAACAATGCCCACCTCTTGGGATTTTTACGAGCTTATATTGATGGGGGCACCAAGTGGAAATGCAGGACAAGCAGGCCATGTAAATATTCACTTGAGGCAGAGATGGACACTTCATTCCAAATTTGGGACCAAACATTATAATTGGTTAGATGTCTCAGCTGAAATTTGAGCTATTTGGAAAGGCATTAAATCGGCTCATTGTTACAATTTAAGCATTTTCTTTGTGGAAATTGATTCTCTAGTTGACTAGCTCTACGCATTGCAAAGGAGGAGGATGAATCAGATTTGCCTCATCAAGGACAGTCTCATACTTGCCCAAGACTTTGCAACTGCTCCAGTGGCATTCAGTTCAGCTACAGGGAATCAATTTTTGTAGCTGACACAAGCCAAATTTGCAGCATCTTCTGAGACAATTCAGTGGATTTCTTATCTTTACAAAGAAAAAAAAAATAAAAAATGGTTTATTGTTCTTCAATACAATTCCATTTGTATTAAAAAAAAAAAAAAAAAAAAAAAAGGGATAATTTCACTGACACCCCTGAAGTTTGGCCAAATATCAGTCTAAAAATCTCTCAAAAATAACTATCACTCACGTTACAAACGTTTGCTCCGTTTTTCACTCATACCACAAAAGTTAGTTGAAAGGTGTGTCAGACCACTTTTACATGTAAAAAGACATTCTTACCCTTTGACTTTGGTTTGACCCATTTAAGTATTTCTTTAATGATTGAAATGACATATTTACCCTCATTCAGATGATATATTTGCCCATTTATACCCTCACATATTATTTCAATTCACCCATGTGTCTACGTCCTATTGGTTGCTGACCATATTTTTTTTATTTCACCTTATTATTTAGGGCCAAACAGTGACACGTCACTCCCACGACGACTAGAGAGAACGACGATGATCGGCAGCCACAGTTGACGATGACAACTACGACTGATGAAGATTCCGGCAACGATGAGGCACGTGGCTCTGCCGACGAAAATCTGAGGATGGTGTGGGGCTTCCATTATCGACGACGACGACGTGGTAGCGAGAATCCGACGAGAATAACTACCAGAAAATTGCATGATGCTGGCTAGAAACTGTTCTGTTTACGACCTGTTTTCAATGTCATACAGCTCGCTAGAATGACGTGGGTCTGTTTTGTAATGCCGAAACTGTTGCTGATGTAGTTATATGTTGTTAGCCGGAAATAATGGAGGTTTCGAATGGGTTTTTGTTGGATTTGTATGATGTGTCGTTATGGTGCTCTCTAGTGTCGGTAGCCTCAGAGTCTCATCATCTTGCTCATGATTTGGATAGATGTATGGAGGGTTAATAATAGTTGTTCATTTTCTTGATGTCTGTGTTTTTTATGTGTGTTTTTTGTGTTATTGAATTTGATTTTTTGTGCAATAGATTGGGTAGGTTTAACACGAAGAATTGGAGGTTTTCATACAAGGCTCTGATTGTGCTTGAATACTTGTTGACCCATGGACCAGAGAGTGTTGCAGAGGAGTTTTAGAGTGACAAAGATGTCATCTGCGAGATGGGAAGCTTTCACTATATTGATGAGAAAGGGTCTTTTTTTCCTCATTTGGGGTTTTTTTATTTTTATTTATTTTATTTTATTTTTATTTGTTATTATAGTACTAAGATTGTTATCATGAGCTTCTAAAATTTAATTTGCAGATTCAATTGGGGACTTAATGTTAGAAAGAAATCCGAGAGAATACTGAAGCTGCTTGAAAAAGGGTCTGTTCTCAAACAAGAAAGGGATAAAGCTAGGAAGCTAAGTAGAGGGATTGAAGGGTTTGGGAGCTACTCGGAGAGGTCTTTTTCAGCACAGAGAATTCTTACAGAATCAGAGAGACTTGGATATGGAAGGTGTCATTCTGAATCTACTAGTCAAAGAACTCAGGATGATTGGTTTTCATTCTCGAAGGACGAAGGTCCATCCGAATCAGAGCATGAAATATCTCAGCAGACTCATCTGGAAAATGTGAATTTGGTGTCCATCAAGAAAATGGAGAACTCCAACTCTATGGGTAGTTTTAGTGATGATGAGGTACTTGAAAAGTTCGGTGCTAGAATAAGTTCCAACAAACCGTGGCCGTAGGAGAACACGACCCGCCGTCCCACACAGACAATCCACACACGACGTCCATGCAAACTGCCGGCGAGAAGACTGTTACCCGCCACGCACGACAGTGACCCACAGTCTGGCGATCCTCCCGTCTTCCTACCCCCAAACCACCACCGTCCGGCGACCCTCCTGCACTCTCTGGTTCGGCCATCGCTGCAGTGCCCAACCGATCTCCCTTCGCCGTCATCGTCGCAATTACACACACACACATATATATATATAGATACACGTGATTGTTATATATATATATATATATATATATATATATACATATATGGGGTATAATGGTCATTTAAGTAGCTGGTGTATTTTGTATTAAATGTGATTAAAAAATTAAAGGCAAACATGTCTTTTCATACGTTTGTAACTGAGACGGTAACGGAATAGTGAAATTGGACCAAATTGATAGTTATTTTCGAAAGATATTTTAGACTGATAATTGACTAAACTACTGGAGGTGTCAGTGAAATTATTCCAAAAAAAAACAAAAAAAAAAAGGAACCATAGAAGAAAAAAATGGATTATCATCCACCATATAGTCCTATTTAATGCATTGTGCTTAGGGTTGGGTTGTAAAAGTTTGGTTTGAAATGCATAAGGAATGGGTTATGTCTGAAAGCAGTCACTTTCAAAGGTATAGGTCTTTTTTCACATTATAACGCCTGATGAGTGATCATTAAGAAGTGAGCATGAGACACAATGAAATTTTAACATGCGACAACCAGAGATTTTGGGTGAAATGGTGCAGGAATTACCTTGTTAGAGGAAAATTCTACAATTGAAACATCCCGCTAGAGCCTTGATCAAGCATCAAGTGGGCAATCACATCTATTCAGTGATTGTGAGTTTGTTTCACCCATTTGGATTTTCTTTCAATCAAAATGTAGATTCCAAATTCAAACCCCCAATTGGATCCACCTTATTTCCTGGGCTACTCATCACTGGAAATCCAAGTCCCCGCCAACATAACCAACAAATTGGGGCTTTCTGCAACTGTCTACTACATCTGGGAAGAGAGTAATGAGAGGATCTTCACGGACAAGTCTTCCCCTCAAAGCTCAGTTCTTGCTCGAATTTCCTGGTCAATCTCAGCTTCTCTCAGTCTAGGATGCCTGAAAGATTGCTCAGCATCGAAGGGAGTCACTCCCTCTCGTCGTCGTAGTCCTCAGGACCGCCGGACTGCCCTATAATTCGAGCTTAGTGCTGTCTAAGCTGTGGAGAGACACTGCATAAGGCATATCCATTTGTAACGGTCAGCAGTATCCATTGCTAAGCCTAACACTAGCTTTTTTCAGTTGGGCTGCTGTGCTTAAAATTGTATGGTGCTCAATGCTGTGGTTCTTTGGGCCCACCCATGTACATATTTACACTTTTTTTTGGTAAATTATACTGAACTCATTTAAATCATAAATTACAGTCTATTTCTTTAACCTTTCTCAAATTTTCGCACTTTATTTCTATTAAATGTAATATAATATATTATTATAATATATAGATATTATTGACTTTTCACATTCGAAATCAATAAATTTAGGGAAGATCAAAATAATAAATATATTTGTAATTTGCCTATACTTCACTCCAAAAGTAAACAAATTTTGTTTCTAACAAAATTTATGAACTAAATGTAACTCAAATATGATTTTATTGAGTAGAAGAGTGCAAATGTAAGTGAATAAAGTCCAAAGCAGATATAATCTCCTTAAGGGAATTGTTCTGAACCATTTGATTTTACATAGGACCACTTTGGTGTATTCCTCAGTCAGTCTAATAAATTTCTCAAATTTTTCCTTACCATTAAAAATAAATAAATAAATTGCTCCCAAGTAAATTGGGGATTTATGTAATAGTTCATACAATACTCAAATAAAATCCTTAAAATTACACGGTGGTACATAGATATGATTCCTTATTAAAAATGAACAGTACTCTGTTGTGTTTTTTTTCTTTTTCTTTTTGGACACTCATATTCCATCTAGTTGGATGAGAAATAAAAAATTGCATCCAATGAACTATTTGCCTAAAACTAACAATCCTAACATGTAGCATATATCATCATCCACCTGTCTTGTCAGATTCCTGTAAATATCCCGCATTAACAATGAGAGGAGAGTATGAGATTTTTTTTTTTTTTTAAGTCTCCATCAAATGGTGTTTACTAGAGTACTATTTTCTTTAATTACAGATGAAGCCAACATCACCACTCTCAAGAGATGTACCAGACCAGCAAGAAGTACTCCTCTTATCAGATGAGGATTCACATTTTTACATGGGTAATTCTCCCCATTACCATCTTAAGAACAACTTTGAACCATTGTCATGCAAAACAAGTACTACATCCCATCACATCACAGAAGTTCTCAAAATTGATCAATTTTATAACACTAGTCATCAAGGTGGACTGAGCAGACAAAGTCACAAGAAACCCAACTGAAATCAACTGTCCCTTTTGTGTTAGCAGGAATTTGTGCTTCATAGCTGCCTCTATATCTAGTGCAGGTGGGATTGGGGATAGAGGGTTGCTCATACCCATACTAACTATCGTGGCTGGTCACAGGAGGATCAACTGCAAATGTTGTGTGCAACGAATTCATGATCACAAGCAAAATAATTGTTGGCAAGACACTCATTGATTATGATATACAGTAGCACTTTTATCCCAACCATGCATTTTACTGGGAGTGAGTATTGGTGTGATCTGCAACCTTATTTTCCCCCGGTGGCTGATCACAATACAAAATTCGCTTATAAGACCTTACAATCCTTCAATGCCGCCGATGTGGTTCAAAGTGCTATTCAGTTAAGCCAGGATGGTATTTTGGGAGGTGAGTAAAATTGGTGGATGTCATCAAAATAAGTATCAGACCGAGTCTAGGTAATATATCATTCACTGGTAAAGGTAAGAATACAAATGTTGTTACTCTGAAACTACACAACTCTATGGTCAGTTGTACAAACCAAATGCATTGATAATACAAGTAAGCATGTGAGACATCCAATTATCCCTCCATCATAAATAATGGTTACTTCCAATACAACAATTACAATTGTGACAAGACAAACAGTAGAAAATCAATTTCACTGCTTTAGCCATAACTCAGACGAGAATCTACAATTCGCGTGCTTGTTTGGCGTCGAGGAATACCAATCTCGCAAGAATTAACTCTTGCAGCAAATCGGAGCGAGCAGAGTGACTCACCAACAGAAGAAGGATCAGGAGAAAGATTGACAAACATTAACGTTTTTGAGTCTCCACCTAAGCAAGGCTGAATATACATTGAATTAGATAAAGTTCACGAATTTCCATGTACTGAAAAGAACCAGCAAAATTTACTGGGAAAGAAAAAATCTATTATGTGGCTTCCGCCCCACTCACTAGTTTATGAAAACAATTGACAACTTACATACAAGCCTAATGCAGCAACTAATGCATCAGAAAAGAGTACATGAAAAAAACAAGTTTTCATCAAGTCACCAGAAAGTAAGTGATCATTCTTTTAGAGCATGAAATGAAGAGAAAAACCATCCCAACTAAGCTACACAATTGTCAAGACGCTCATTATTATTTATGCCTGAGTCAGTTACAACACTACCTTGTGTGAGACATGCCTTTTTCACATTAAAACATACAATGGAACCCATACAAAATATGGTCAGTCCACAGTAGAACATATTATTAATAACGTATCAGCATGCCATTTTTTGTGGGGAAAAAATATATATAGAAGTGTTGGCTTCAGTTAGCTAATGATGCTACTCATTCAATAAAGCAGCACTTAAGTTTGTGGCATCATTTAAGACCAACTTGTGACCAACCCGGCAACCTAACATTTTGAAAAATATGATATGTATATAATAATATAAATATTAAAGTTATAAAAGGACGACCACACAATTGAATCAAATCAAGGTGGCCAATTACGAAAAATGGCCAACAAGTATTATTTACTCCAGCAAGTGAGCACACAAATTTTCACAGCCCCATAATCACTCTTAAACATACTTACAGGATAAGACGAAGGAAAAGTATTATTCACCGTCCAAAGTGAAGTTCAAGAGTGAATACATCAAGGTATTTTTAATTTTTCTTCAGCAAACATATTGAGAGACCTATAATCTCAAAACATATTTACCTGGAGAAGATATGTCAGCTTTGAATTCCTGAACGGAACATGGTCCTCCTTCTTTGCCAAGGCAAAAATAACATCACTCAAGCAAGATAAACTTTTATTGATTGCCTGATCATCACAGTAAATAAATCAGAATTATAATTTTTAACAATACATAATAAGATCCACAAAACTTGGGATGGGGAGGAATGAGGATGAAAATCATTTCTAAACAAGATACCTGAGTTTCTTTCAGTCGGTCCCCTGTTGCCCCACTCCTCGAGAGTCGTTCACTACCAGCAAGATCAATGAGATTTAGCACGCCCTGTACTTGTTGTTCAGTGCTCTAGCAAATCAAGAAAATTTATCAGCTGTGTCACCCTCCGTAAAAGGAAGTTGCGCCACCCAGGCGACACGCGAGCTCTGAGGAGCACTCAGCATATCGTCTGCTTGGCATGTGCAGAGTATATAGTTCTAGAGTGTCACAGGTATTGAAGGATACCTCATTTACTCCAGATATCCGAAGGGTGAAAACCAAATGACTTCTAGAGGATTGATCATTCATCTGTGTCTTGCCAACCGACCTAAAAAAACAAAATAGCAATAACTCATTTTTTAAAAACTACCCAATCAATCCTCTACACTAATCACATCCAATGAGATCTTCAACAAAACTCTATTCCAACATCCAGAAACACAAAATCAATTAAATTTTCAACAAAACTCTATTCATAACATTCAAAAAAAAACAAATTATTTGCAATATTCTCTAGGGAAAAAAAAAACATATACCATCCTTTTCCTAAAATTCATCACATATACTACACCTCCAACCTAATTTCAGTACCAATAACATTTCAGTCATAAGATCCAGAAACATGATCCATAGTATCTCATAGACATAAAAACTTGCTATCCAATTCCAATAATTCATCACATAAATAACTTGCAATTCATTTCCTATAATTCATCTCATGTGACACACTACAACATATTTTTAGCACCAATAACATTTTCTGAAAAAAAAAGGCTTTAATTTACCAAGAAATAACCAATTGATTGATATATGATATATTTACCTGCTTTGTGCAGCTTGATGTAAAAGAGAGGAAACCTCTCTTATACTGCATACATCAACAATGGTGAGATCAGATACATTTGTGTTTCCATTCGAGTCATGCTTGATGGTATACTGCTTTCCGACACCACCATTTTCTGCACGAATCATGTCTAAGCCACTTGATCGATTTACTAGTAAGTCACGTATGGCTTCATTATAAATTTCCAACATTGAAGCCTACATGTTTTGACAAAATATTAGAATACACACAATTGTAGCCAGAAATGAACTATATCATTCTAGAGAACATATAGAAATTAAGAAAGGGGCGGAAATGGAAAAGAAGTAATCTACCTGCATTTTATACTTCCAGCCTTGAGCTGAAAGAGATTGACTAGTTTGGAAAATCTGTTCTAGTGAACGAGGTATCAGCCCTTTCTGCTCAGGAGATTCTGGCGCACCCATCATTGTATAGGTTTTACCTGACCCCGTCTGACCATAAGCAAAAATACAGACCTGCCGAAAAGAGTGAAAAAGGCAAATCAAATCCAGTCCTTTTGATTTCCATTATAATTGCTCTATATGTCTTCCAAATTTTTTAAAAAAGAATCTTGTTTGGACCCAGTAAATATGCTAAAACTATCGAAATATTTTTTTTCCTAAATAAATTATCAAAATATTACATAATTCTGTTTCAATGAATCAACACAAAGGCGCAATATATCATTTGCTTTTATTTCTGTGTCAACTAAAAAAAATATTCATGATAACACAATAATTAGTAATTACATGAATTCCATCACTACAAAAGATAAATCAAAAAACCAAGTCAAAAATGCAACTTAGGCACCAACGGATCGATAGCCTAGCGGGATCAGGCCCTTACTTCCCAAAGGGAGGTCAAGGGTTCAAGCCTCAGTGGAGGCATGTGTGTGAGTACCAACTATGGGAAGAAAAAAAAAATGCAACTTAGGCTAGGCAGGACCCAAGTGGAACAAACCTTATTGGCCTTTTAAACTTTGCTTAAATTGGAAAACATCAAGTACGACTTAAGCTGACCATTACCCAAGGACAACTTACCTAATTCAAAGTTAAGGTTTAATACAAGTTTACCTTTCGAACTCCGGATTGAGCATGGAACAGGGAATCAGAATCGGTTCAAAAGAGAGTTTGCTAGATTTAAGTTCAATTGCCAATTCTATGATTTACGCTACAACACTCCTAGTTTCATTAACATGTGAAGAACAAGAGAGACAAAATAAAATCACCTTATAGCCATCAAGAGCACTCTGTACAAGCTGAGATATCTCTACGAAAACATCCTGCTGAGAGGCTTCATGGCTGAACACTTTGTCAAATGTAAAAGGATACTTTTGCCCTGCTAACACATAAAAATCGAATGAGATTTTCCTTTCAGTTTCAAATATACCATTATGATCCAAAATTAGTATATCTTGCACATGCTTTTGGCTAATGATCAAGACAAAAAAAAAAACAAACAAACAGACATAAAAAATTTATAAATAAATAAAAAATGCATAACATTGTTATGCTCTACTTCAACATGCCAGGCAAACATAGACTAACCCAGAAAACAATTGGAATGTGGCAACAATGTTAATTAGCAAAATTTCATACCAGTTTGTATCAAATCAATGCCTCGGCCAAGAGATTCTGCTGAAGTAGGATAAGAAACCACGCTTCCTTCAATTCCAACACCATCATCAGGTAACAACGGTCTCACCCTGCAGAATACACGGATGTTGCCTTTTAGTTCCTGCAACAAAATACTAGTTAGTACCATTGAATCTCGTTACGAAGTAATAGAAAGTGAGCCCACAAAAATTTACCAATATAGTGTTGTGGAGCTTTTTGCGATACTTTTCTCCGTCAAGAATTTTATGTTCTGCATCTGCAAGGCGATCCTGTAACTCAAGTATAACTCGTTTTTGCTCTTCAAATCCTACCCTTGTTTCCAGAGCCGATAAATCAGACATCTAAAAATACACATAACCATAAACAAGTCTCATGATATGACAAATGCAAAGTACAAAATACATAAAGAATGGCATCATCTACACATAAATAACACACGAATAATCCGGCAAACCTTTAACTTCTCATTTGCAGAGGTTAACTGGCTTTGCAATAGAAGTATTTGTTTTGTCTGAGATGAGCATGTCTCCTGTATAAGAGGCCAAAATACTATGAATCCCCATATTGCAAAAATTATAAGAAATGGGAGAAAAATGAAAAAATAAAAATAAAGACCAACCTCCAGGGCATTTGATTTAATGGTTAAACTATCCAATTCTGCAACTGACTTTCCCGTGCTCTCTTTGTACTTTAGTATTTCAGCACTCAAGGTCTGAACATGTGTTAATTGCCTATCACGGTCTTCTCTTACCTGTTGTAGTTCCCCTCTAAGGCATCCAACTTCTTTTACTAATGCTTCTTTCTGCTTCACAGCTTCTTCTTGAGAAGCCTGGAAAACACACCTTCCCATTTGAATATATATATGCACCTCTTCCTCTCATCATTTTCAGCACTTCAATTTGTACTTCATCAAATTTATTACGAGTAACATTACTTGGACAAAAGTGTTATTTGGCCAGAGGTCTACTTTTACTTGTAAAATAATGCATACGCTAGTGGATGATGAAATATGCACTGGGCTGCAGGCAGTTAATCAATTTTTTTTGTTTGCTCTTTTGTAGCACTATCACTTTTTTCTTTATTGATTTGATATTGCTTCAAATAGATTAGAATCATAACATTCTGAAAACGTTATATTAATGGGTTAGAACTTAGAATCCTAACCTTCTGAAAGTGTTATTTGGTTTTCTCTCACATTTAGGTAAAATAGTGGTCCAACAATGTTAGTACAGGAAATGATAGTTATACATTCTTGATGTGACTTGCACGATTCACCCAAATTCAACTAGTGTTCATAATAAGCAGCCAGCCAACCAACCTCAAATTTCAATTTTTGTCACCTCAAGAAGTCTATCATATTGTTTGACGCAACAGCAAGAAAAAGATATGGCTTGATTTTAACAGTAGAGCACACCACGAATTTTTGACTTAAGACCTCATTCACATAATAACCCGTACTTCAAAGACATGATAGGGAAAAAAGGAAAAATGAACAAATGGGGGCAAGAAAAGGACGTACTCGACAAGAAGCTAATTGCTCCTGCAATGAATTATAATGACCCCTTAAAGTGGTAAGATTCGTCAATATAGCCGTTTTCTCCGTTTCTACTCGTTTAAGTGACTCATTGGCCGATGCAACGTCCTCTTGAAGTTTGCTATTGTACTGTTGCAAGCCTATGTTGTACTCTTGTGATCGCTTGTACATGTCATCAAGTGATGTCACCTGTAGAATTCACAAAATCCGAAAGAGTACACCTATTGAATGAGCATCTGATATTGGAAAGCGGAATTTATAAGTCTCTTTTGAATTGATAATTTTACATTACCCTCTGATTAGCACTTAATTTCTCCTGCTCAGCCTTTTCAAGTTCTTCACTTAGACGACATTGCAACTTCTCAGCAGCATCTCTGGCTTCTTTTTCTCTTCTATGACACTCAATTGCATCCTACTTGTTGAATCAACAAAAATATTACATGAAGCAAAGTGAAAAAGAAAAAGAAAACACTTATTACACAGCAAGCAATGGTATGCTTCACAATCTCACCAGCTTCTCGGATTCTTGCTTTGCCAAATTCTCTTGTAAAGAGGCATTACTCATCCTCAACTCAGAAATAATTGCATTTAATTCCTCCTCCTTGTTTTTCATTGCCACCTCTTATAGAATACAGAACAAATTAAACAAGATATTGTCTTTTATTCAAAATCTAAGGAACTTAAGGTGCAAAAATTACCAGTTTCAGTGCATTTTTTCTCCAAAGATTCCAAACTATTCTTTAGCTTTTCCTGTTCCTCGATGTGGCCTTTTTCAAGTTCTTGAAACCACTTTATACAAAGCCTAAGTTTTTTAATGAGATCAGTCATTTGGTCCACTTTCCCCTATATATCCAAAATACATATTAGCCAAATAAAAAATAAACAACAAGCAGCACCAAAAAGAAAAAAAAGTAACTTACTACTCTCTTTGGTCAGTGAGAAAGTGTAAGAAACTAGAAGAAATTAGCAATCATATTCATATTTATCAAAATTAGGAATCGATGAAACAGAACCACTCCTCCAGTCCATTCCCCCATCCACAAACAATGGTTCAACAAGCCTATTATAACTTCTTAATTTAGTTAACACAAATGTTTCATTTAATTGAGAAAGTGAAGTGCTTTAAAATATCACATAAATACTGTATTATTCATGACATTTAACCAAATAACTTATGCAAACAAACGAACCTTGTGGTCGAATTTCTTCCCTTTAATCTTCTCATTTAGCAAGGCCTCAACCACCTCCTTATTAAATTCAACAGTACCACAATCAGATCCACCCAAGTCACCACCATTCGCTGTGGGATCCTGCCTATTGTTCACCGCTGCAAAGGCCTGTCGTCCCCTGCCACTACTCACTGTTCCCACCATCCTCCCCGTTCCAATCTTTCTCCTCTTGTCTAGAGGTATATCATCAACCGCATTATTTCTCTACAAATCAGAAATGGATAAATTAGTACATAAGATAAAAAATTGCTAGAAAGGCAAATATAATTACATCCGTGCGTGTGTGCGTGTATAACAAAATTAGTAACAGAAAGCCCTAGAAAACACAAACACGCCCATAGATATAGAGAGAGAAAGGGATTACATTTAAGGGGCTGCGAGGAGGGGGCTTATTTTGGTTTCTGGAGGTCATTTTTGACAAGGAGAGGAAGGAAATGAGTCAGTAGTCGGAGATGGAAAATCGTGTTGGGTTATTGAGGTGCTCTTGTGGGGCCGTGAATTGCATCTGAAGGAAACACTGCTGATTTCGATCGTTGGTGGTGATTGTTGCGAAGAAGAGAGTCTGGGCAACGAGATGTGGTGTTTGTTTCCCGAGAAAAATGTTCGGATTGGAACGCTAATCAGAAGTTAGGGTTAGAGAGAGAGAGAAGGGGAACGGGGCAGAAAGTGAAATTTGAATTCTTTTGAATTGAGATCTGGCGGTACTTGATAGGCCTTTTTTGGAAAATGGATCGGGTCGGTTTATTATATAAAGATGAAATTATATACATCATACTATACAATTACACAAAAGCTTGAGCATATACTATAAACTAAAGAGTAAATGTTTATTTTTACTAATTTTCTTTGTCAAGAGTTATACGTTTTGGCATCTTAAAAAATCAGGATAAAGCATTTATATATTATATTATGATGATTACTATTTTGTCTCTCAACATTTAACCGAATTAAAAGATTAATAACATACCATAAAAAGTTATTCGAGTAACATATTAATTTTTTAATATATCCTATTTTTTACTAACAAAAAAACCAATTTTTTTCTACATACCTCAAATATTTCTAAAAGGTTTAAGGTATAATTAATAAAATATAGAAACTTAAAGGAAAAAATCATAGGTATATACAGTGTGTTATAAATATACTAATTTTGGCTTATGAAGTATGTAGTATAAATTGTTGACTTTCCTGTTAAGTGGGATATTGAAATAGTTTGGAAAGTTATATATATATATATATATATATATATATAATATCAAATATTTTTAAGGCAAGAAACACATTCACACACTTTTTTCTCCTATAAAGACTTAAAATTTCAACCTCTTGATATGTAAGTTATTGATTACAATATACGCGATTACAGTATACTCCGTATTTCAAACATTTTAAGATTCATTATTTGTTATAACAAAATGAGTAACAGCAAGCAAAATCTTTTAAAATTGTTTATAAAAAAATAATAATAAATTTTTTTAAAAATAAGCCCTTAGTGTATATTATATTTTTTCAAATCCGAATTCACGTAAACAATATACAGAAATCCCGTAAATGTACAAACCAATCGACTTCCCAACTATTTCATCATTTACCCATTCAACACAAGAGTAACAGCATAGCCAATACAGGTTGTTCAATTTAACATCAAAATTTGCTGTCACAGGCTCATGGTTACCACACAAGGCCATACTTTACAAAATGAATACATTTACAAAAATGGTATTTTACAAAGGAACAGAATCATATACAAAAGACAACAAAAATAGATAACTGCTAATCCCTTCAAGCTTGTGGTGGATTCTCATCCGTCACTTCTTTTTCATGTCCCGAAAATGTTAAGGAAAATGGGTGAGCATAAAGCTTAATAGAAGTCGTCTAAGGCGTCAGCATTGGACTCCCTTGAGCCGCATAATACATAATGGGATACGAGATGACGGGATCAGGCATTGGGGGTCTATGTAACATTTACAATAGAGCAAGCAATAATCTCAGTCAATAACACAATTCTACAGAATGTCGTGCATGATATGAAATGTAATGCACCCCGTCCCAACTCGGTCTGTACCGACCCAATCTACAACTTTCGAAACCCACTAACTGACTTTATCGAGGCAAGATTGATAGCTATCCCCGGTTCCAAATCCGGCAACCGTTAAAGGACTTAGTATCAACTTTTTTACGCCCTATACCGGGTCGCCCTCCCTCTAAGTCAAGCTAGCCCGAACTTACGAAATCCGGTTCATTTTAAAAAAATAAAACTTTCCCCTTTTTGAAGTGAAACTTAAATCACCTTTTTAAAATAAAACCTTCCTTCCAAACCATACCTAAATCCCCATTTTATGCCATGATATGCAATGTAATGATTCTCAACCTTAAATCATAAGTTCATCGTATAATCAATTCATCTTATAAGAGTCAATTAAAACCCAAAGCATACTAAAAAGATCAGCACAATAAAGACATCATTTTTCCAACTAAGGCATGTTCAAGAATTCTCATATAACAAGATTAAACAGGCCATTAACTCAAGATTAAAACAACTCGTGATTTACACATATAGACATTCACAACTCAACAATTTTTATTTCAAATTTCATGATTCACAACATATAACAAAAGTAATAGAAATTTGCTCAATTATAAGGCAAAACTCAATGCATTAAGAAGACCCCTAACTTAATTGGAGAGCAAACACATAAGAAGTCCCAATTTTAGCCCAAGAACCCTAGAATTCGAAATCCCCAATGGTGGCAAAATTGAGCTTTGCTCCAATCAAAATATCGGCCTAGACGCGCTTATCAACTTTGCCTAAAGTGGCAAAGCCAAAATCTAAATGTATTGAGAGGGATCTAGCCTTGAAGAGCTTGATTGTAGGGAGAGAATGGTATGGTGTAATGAGAGATACAGAGGCCACAAAATGGCCTTAAGGCCATTATAATGGCTAAGGCAATATTGGCGAGTTCCATATGAATAAAATTCCACTTTTACTAATAATATATATATATATATATATATATATATATATATGTATATATACACACCCAAATTAAATCACAACCGCATATAAGCATTGTAAACAATTTCTTTATGCAAAAAAATAACAATGCATAACATGCAATGGACCCGTGACACAACTCCCATGCACAACAACTCCTGTAGCGGGTCCCACCTGCAATCCCCCGATCCAAAAAATAGAAAACTATCGAAATGACAACCAAGTACTTCCAAGAGTTCTGAACTCAATGAAATATCCCAATCAACTCTCTGACGCACCCGGCACACTCTACAGTGTCCGGCACGCGAAACGAGAAAAGACCAAAATACTCTCAAAAAATTAAAAAATTTCAGAAAATGAAAAATGACGAAAATCGAAAACATTATACTCACCTTAGTTAGTAAAATACGGTACGGAAAAAATACGGGTACGGAAACGTACGAGTATAATTCGATTTTTTTTTTAAAATACGTTTAAAAAATTCGGCAAAAAAATACGGAGACGTAAAAATACGAATACGGATACGTACGCATATAATACGTTATATACTCTAAAAATTCGGGATTAAAAATTCGGCTATACACATATTATTATTTTCTTATATATAGATATTTGTAAGGACAATAAAGAATAGGTAACAAATAATAAAATAAATATATTACAATTGACAGTATCACAATAATCATAAAAAAAAAAAATTCATAAGTATATACTGTGATATTTTACTAAAACATCTAGGGAGTGTGGTGATCTACAAACTTCTAAAATAATAATAATGATAAAGATATTAACAAAATTTAAAAGATCTCACAGCAAAATAAAAAATCTATAAATATCTACAACCATCAATAAAAACTTATGATTCTTGAAGATTATAGTATTCCACACACACACATATATATATATATATATATATATATTTCGGTTGCTTTGATTAAAGATCATAATTGGGGTGACAACAATAAGAGATTGCATAACAAATAACATTATTTTGATAGCTTGAAAGATAATGACTATACCAAGCAAAAGAGAGTAGAAAAGACAATAGTTTACACAATAAATAACATTATTTTGATGGTTTCAATAAAAATGGCTATACTAAGCAAAAGAGGGTAAAAAAAATAATAGTTTGTATTTCAGAAAAATACGCTATTAGAAACGTAAACGTGAAATTCGTAAACGAAAAATAATAATAATTAGGTTACGAATTAAATGGAGCAACCAAAACGAATAAACGCGTTAGATACGGGGTGATTTTTCCACAATTCCTACGTACGCGTTTAATTCGCGTATCATACGCAAATTAACTAACTAAGATACTCACCACTAATGTGGGCCAGTAATAAATTGACATGTGATTTTTAATTATTAAATTAAAGATGGTGGGTAAATATTTACTTACCATACTAGAGATAGTGATTTAATTACTATTTATAATTTGGTAATTAAAATTAGACGTGTTAATTTATTATTGGTCCACATCAATGGTGAGTATGTTTTTGATCCTCACCAACGAAGATCTAAGTATTATCCTTATAAATAATATATTACAAGATAATTTTGAAATGACCGTCGTTGAGCATGCACACCAAATCAAAGAAAAAGCCAAAGTAATAAACGTTGATATAATTTGTCCAAAAATTAATGTAATTTATCATAATAAAATAAATAATTTCGTCTACATGAGGTAATCATAAGAAATCGCTTTGATAGAGAGCCCTTGAAGAACACACAGCTACACCTTGTCAAAATAATTATAAATCCAATTTCAACGCATTACAAAAGCATTTGATTTGGGTGTTTGAGGCTCCATTGATTCTTTGGTAACCAAGTTATCAATAAAAATAAATAAATTTATCAACTGTTGGATTTTTTTGGAACGACCTCTCTCCATCTCTCCCTCTCTTTTTCTTTTTTGTTTTAAAAAAGTCTCCTTTTACACACCTTATTTTTGTCCTTAATGAGAGAGTTTGAAGATCCAAATTTTCACTTCCCAAACCCTTGCTGTTTCCCTCTGCTTGCCTGAAAGATTTTGGATGATCACATGAAAACCTATGCAAGATGGCTCAAGCCAAGGTTTCAATGGTTGTCTTATGCGGCTCCACCCAGGCTTTCTTTGAAGGCAGCCTCCAACTCAGTGGCTGAACCCGCTTGAGAGCAGCCACATTGCTATGCCTCGAGCAGGGTTCCACCGTTAGAGCCCAGCAGGATTCACCGAGACAAACGATTATAGGACTCAGTGGTTCAAGCATACCTATCAAGGTTGGACCACCTCCTCCCCTCCCACAGGAATATGTCTGATTTGAAAGTGTTGTTGAAGCTGAAGAAGTTTAAACAATAATAGACTAGCCGGATTCATCACTTTTAACTTAGGACTTGGTCGATGAAAATCAGCAAGTACATATTGCTTATAATTAGTATGTCACAGTGAAATGTATTACACTGACAAAATTTGGCTTTTGTTGTAGGGAGCATCTTTAAAAGAAAGAGTATGCATCTGCACCTCATTATTATTTCAGCAACAAAACATAACAACCTCGCTGACAGACCTCCCATTTCTCAGGATTTCATTTTCTGCTGGAGTAAATAGAATACCTATGCAGATAACCTTCAAAAGGAAAATAAAAAATAAGTTTTAAGAGGCTCCAAAGATATCCATC